CGTGAAATTTTTAACTGTTTTCCAATGTTTGAACTATTTTTGCATAGGCTAAAGTACAAAGCATTGAAAATCATTAATGGACAATCGTTCGATGGGCTGAATTGCACAAAACGCATGATCGCACCGGCTAGTCTAGTGCGCGTTGCTATTTATTTTTAATATTAATATTATTCCGGGGCAGTCTGATACGGGAAAAAAAGGAGCGTCAGGATCCCCAATAAGTTGACCACCGGCATGTAGCAATGATTTATAGTCATTGCATAGTTGCAAAATTGGGCTGTGAATTAGTGGCTGATTCAAGCTTCAGTGGTAATGAGATTGGTTCTGTGCTGATCAGGTACTAATGTTAGAATATTGTCATCGAAATAACAGTTTTTATAGATTTTGAAAGTAAATATTATGATGACCGAAGTATAAAATTATTTGTGTTTGGCATGAAAAAGTGTCGCAAGTTTAAACAGAATTGAGAATTCAACCAGATTTATTGCAAAAATTTTTAAGGATGTATTTATGCTTCCCGATACGACGGTTCTGAATACAAAAACTGTTGCTGAAATATTGCGCATGGGTTACACTCGAATACCTGTCTTCTCCGGCAACCGGTAAAACTGCGTTTCGATTATTCTTCAACTTTCATTTTACACATTTCTTCTCTTGTTTGAAATACTTTGTCCAGTCAAATTCTGTTGCATGAGACAAGAAATCTTTTCCAGTTACCCTGACCAATGCTGCGCTGCCGATGAACGGCCTTCTTTTGATTCCGGTGCAAGTTTAGCTTGCTGAAGGGGCTAGTAACTCCAGTTTTTCCACCGAAACTGCTTGATTGGACCGTAGGCTTAACCTCTTTTCCTGCCCTGAGTATCCACGACAAAAACCAGAAGCGCATTTCCTCCTCCTTTCCACCCATCACTTCCCCCTCCCTCTAGGCAGCCATCAAAAGACCTACGCCACGTAGCTATTCAATCCACCTCCCCAACTTCCTCCCCTCCCTCGGATCCTCGCGCAAGAAACCCGTCGAGCACCACCACTTCGTCCAGAGCGATGCCTTATCAATTTTCGGAACCGAAAAAGTATTTTTTTTTTCATGTCTGGAAATTTCTCGTCCATTTTTTTTCTGTGTTTGTATCTATCTATACGGTGAATTTTTTCCCGATTACTAAAATATCCTGCAAAAAGAAAGCCAAGGCATTTGTCATATTACAGGAATACAGTAGTGGCTCTATTGTTCGTCAAGGATTTGGCGCTTCTGGATCCGGATGATAATTTCACCATTCAAACGGTCTGCGGATTTCACGAGCATCCGTTACGTTTTGTGATGGAAGACACACCACTACGTGTTATGCTTGAGGAATTCAAGAAAGTTAGCTTATTTGCATTGCTCCTTGACATACGGTTTCCGAAATGTATTACTTGGACGGGGAACGTTCCCCTATGATTTCAGCGTTTTAGCTTCCCAGATTCCCGAGT